GCAAGTGTGGGGCGCGTGGGGCAGCTCCTCCCCACCCCCGCTCTAGCTTGATTTTTACACATGTGCCTTGCCCCAAAACTAGGGCTTATTTTGTGGGGTAGGGCTTATATTGGGTGCACATGTAAAAAAAATCAAGCTAGGGCTTATTTTGGGGATAGGTCTTATTTTCGGGGAAACACAGTAGAGATTGAAGATAATGATAAATTAAAGAGAGGTGTTTTCAAAGCCCAGGCTTGGTGGAGGTTTGGGTGGTTTAATATTTTCACCACTGAAGACGTTCGCCAGATGGGTTACTATTATCAGCTAAGTAATGGGAGGGTGAGGAGTCCAGTGCACAAAAGCCTGACGGTTTGTTTCTATATATGCCTTTGTTTCTGATTTTTGCTTTAAGATTATTTGTTAAAAAAAATAAGTGACACTTTCATTTCCCCCTCCCTCCACTTTTTAGAGGGCTACCAGATCTTAAGTGCAAAAATCTGGACATTTGTGTTATAGTTTTCTGCGTCCTTCTCTGTCTAGTTAGTGTTCTGGATTTTTGCATTGTCCTGTGTTGGCTTCTGTATCTGAATCTTCCAAAACCCACCGGATTAAGCCAGAGAAAGGAAATCCTCCAGAAAACATATTGGGATTTATATTTATTTTTAGTTGACATAAACAAGATTATTAGCTGATTTTTATGAGACAATATCTTCTGGAGAATCCTCTCACTTTATATCCACTGGAATTTGCTTTTTGATCAAATAAAAGTGATTATATTCTACCCGTATACCTGTAAAATGATGGGTTGATGGGCTCCATCTCTATAGACAAATCACCTTGTTTTTAGTACACAAGAATGGAGATTGTGATAAAGATGAAAACTACGAAAGCCCCACTGAATCAGATCAAGAATCAAAGTTAGTTTTCCTCAGCTGGGCCTGTGCATCAGCCCTAGTCAGCATGACCAGACTGTAACTGGATAATCTAGATCAGGAGTTCCCAGCCAGGGGTGCGAGATGATATTCCAGGGGGTGCGAAAACTTGTTTTCAAAATTATAGTGTATATGCATAATTCGTTGCCATTATTTCGAACTTTTGTAAGGGGTACGAGACTATATCAGAAGTGTTCTAGGGGTGTGGGGTATAGAAAAGGTTGGGGACCACTGATCTAGATGTAATGATTGCTGTTCATCGGGAGAGCACCAGGTTGGGGATATCTGTTTTCTGCTCCTGCAGGGACTAAAACACTGATCCCCAAACCTCCTTTTTAGCACCTGAAGGCCAACACCCTCCCCTGTGCTTGATATTCATATACAGAGTGTCTCTGAATGTGGACGTTCTGTTTGTTTTGCAAGTCTGTGCTTGTTTAGCATTCTTTAAATAAATCTTGCTGAAGTCACTCTCTATACCATGTTTTGCAGCAGGGAATTTCATAATTGTGAACTCCTTGAAGTACTTTCTTTTGCCTGTCCTAAATCCAAGGAAGGAAGAAAAGGGCAGGCACCGATCATAAAAAATAATGGCAACATTTACTCCCAGCTACTCAGTAAGTAATTATATATTCTAGTTCTGGTATGGAAAAGGGAAAAATATCCCACGGTTCATTTTAAAAATAAAATTATACTTCTCTAACACGCCTAACACTTTTTGTTTTGTTTTCCGACATTAAACGGCACCAAACACTTTAATCTTCCTCGATAAGAAAATTATTCTTCATCATTCTAGCTCACGGGTGTCAAACTCAATCGCGTCACGTGACGTATTTGACATCCCTGTTCTAGCTAACTTACTCTGCGTTCTTTATAGCTCTGCTATATATATTTCCAGGTACTATAAACTGGTCAGAAAGGAATGCCCTACTCCAAATGTGGCCACACCAACCATTCTATACATAGCATTATAATTAGTATAATCTGCCATAATTTACTTTTTAAACCCATGCAGAGCAACAGCGTAGAATGTGCACTCCCACCTAGTGAATATGACTGACAGATAGTTTGCTTCCTGGGCCAGTCAAGTAACCCCTGTGCACTAGCTATGCATAATCAAAGATGTTTGGCCATACAGCAGCCCTTTCTGAACTTCTTTTGGATGCTGCAAGGGAAACTGGGAGATAGTCATGTGAGGGGAAGCATGCTATATATTGCAGGACTGCTTATAAGCCTTACAAAGTTCTTCTATCTAGGGGCCATGATGGCATAGTGGTTAAATGCAGTAGTGCAGGCTAACTCTGCATTCCACTGCCAGGAGTTCGATCCTGACCGGCTCAAGGTTGACTCAGCCTTCCATCCTTCTGAGGTCTGTAAAATGAGGACCCAGATTGTTGGGGGCAATATGCTGACTCTGTAAAACCACTTAGAGAGGGCTGTAAAGTACTGCGAAGCATTATATAAGTCTAAGTGCTATTGCTATTGCTATTGCTAGATCCTTTAGACCAGTGGTGGCGAACCTATGGCACGCGTGCCAGAGGCGGCACTCAGAGCCCTCTCCATGGGCACGTGTGCTGTCACCCCAGCCCCACCTCCCCCTGAGGCCCCCTCCTCAGCAGGAACCTCCCTGGAGGAGAATCGCCCCCAGGTGCGGCCCACACGGAGCAGTACAGCCAAGGACATAACCGGGCAGCAGGGACACGACTCCGCCCTTGCACCCCATAGCATGCAGATGATGCTGCGGGGTGTGGGCAAAGGGCATGGCTGCCATGGTGCTGCAGGGCTGCCTGGGTGATCTGCTGTGGGCCATGGAGGCAGTGTGTGTCCCTGCAGGTGGGCGGGGCAGGAGGCGGATGGGGGTGGAGCAGGTAGGGTGAGAGGCGGAGCGGGGGCGGGGGGCGGTTTTTGGGCACTCGGTCTCTAAAAGGTTCGCCATCACTGCTTTAGACTATACTTGGAGGTGCTACTTTACTTTCTGGTAAACTGATGTTTTATCACTGGCCATGCCTTCTATACCACAATTTTGTGAACACACCACAGATGCTATCACATCATTTCAAATGAGCCAGTGGCCAAGAAAAGTTCCCTGCAACTGCTTTATCTTACTGAAAGTTAATTGGAAACTGTTAGATCTCCAAAGCCCGCCAGCGAGTTCTTTGAGTAGCAAAAACTAGGCTCCTTTCTGAGGCTTAAGCACTCCCATATTTAGAAAGGTAGCTTGAGTGACCTGCAGCCAGGACTAGATTGGTATCCTGAACTGTTTGGACTTGTACCTTACCAACATGGCAAGCAGGTCATTTTTTTCCATAACTGTGAATGATGTAGAAGTTAGCAATTAACTAAAGGAATTTCTGAAAAGGGGATGGGGGGACTGTGCAACTGATGTAAGAAGCAACACACAGCTCCTTAGACTTTGCTCCTGTCTGGTGTATAAAGGACATAGTGTTTCTCCACTCATTTTGTCTGCAAGGGGACTGTGGACCTAGCCTGTGACCTTGTGATGTTTCCCCTGAGTATCTCACCTGCAGCAGGTAAGGGAACACATAGGGACAAGAGCCTGGAGCAGCACCAACAGACGTGGATCGGGCAGCTGAATCCAGGCCATTTCAGGGCAGGTTCTTACCTCTTAACCCTAGCACTAGATCAACCCAGAGTATTTCCTTAGGGTAAAAAAATGCCTGTATCAAGGCAGGCATAGATCCAGCCCAGCTAAATCTTTCTGACCTTTTTTGGCTAACGTAACACCTATCTAATCTCTCTTCCAAACAACGAAGAACCAAATACAGAATCTCCTCGGCAGTTTAGATATGGCCACAATGGCAATAAGGACATAGGTGGAAGCAATGGATCTGCATCGATCTGCAATAATAATCCATTACTTTGGATAAATGATTAAGATATATGGTTTCTTGGCTACTGAATATAGGGGAAGCATCTGGAATTTCCTTGAAACCAAGATGTCAGGACAAGTGTCACATTTATCATTGGCAATGTCTTTTTTCAGCTGGCCGGTTATGATGCTACCTTATGGGAGAGATAATCCAGTGCAATGCTGTCAATCCACAGGAGGAGGAAGACTCTTGCAGGCACCACCCTTCTCCGTCAGCCATAGCGTCCCAGGTACTCAGCCCAAGAGTCTTGTTTAGCCTCCAAGCTCTGCAGCTGAAGTTCTGTCCTTTCTGTCCTTTTCTTCACTTCACTTCCCTCATGCCTTTCCATGTGTTCTTGGGCCAGCTGGGTATCTTTTGTGTTCAATGAAACTCCCATGTTTTTTTTGGGGGGGGGGGTTGTCCTTAAAAAAGTGGACATAAGTGCTTTCTCTATAGATAGAAGATCCTATTTACAGAGTACTGTAGAGGTTCTTGGGGTCTTCTGTACAACTACTTCGTAACAACTACTTTTAACGAAGAGAAGGACGAGGGGGGACATGATAGCAGTGTTCCAATATCTCAGGGGCTGCCACAAAGAAGAGGGAGTCAAGCTATTCTCCAAAGTGCCTGAAGGCAGGACGAGAAGCAACGGATGGAAACTAACCAAGGAGAGAAGCAACCTAGAACTAAGGAGAAACTTCCTGACAGAACAATTAAAACCAGTGGAACAACCTGCCTCCAGAAGTGGTGAATGCTCCAACACTGGAAGTTTTTAAGAAGAGACTGGACAGCCATTTGTCCGAAATGGTGTAGGGTTTCCTGCCTGAGCAGGGGGTGGGACTAGATGACCTCCAAGGTCCCTTCCAACTTTATCATTATTATTACTATTAAGTAACCCACACAGCTAAATCTACATGCTTCAGAGGTACAGATACTGCAAAAGTTCCAGCAGGAGCTGGTACTGGCTCTTCATGGGATGGCACAGTAGGCTTTTTGCCTCTTTTTTTTTTTTTTTTTGAAGAGTGCCCTGGGCCTAGATAATCTCACAAATGATACAGGAAGCAGAAGATCCTATCATTTGTGAGATGCAGTTTCTTTAATCAACATTTCTTTCTCCATAGTTTTACAGATGAATCCGAAAACTAGAGAATATTTGTTCCCCACTGTCAGTTCTAACCTTGAGCACTTCCCCCCTGGCTCCTCCGGGAGGCTGGCAGAAAGCATGGAGAGCCATGAAATCAACACTGATTTTTCCAAGATGTGGAACCCCTACTCATGCTGGGATGAAGTAGAGAAACCAGGTAAGGGAAATGAAGCTAGGGATATAGCTGTAAACAAGCAAGCGTACCAGTCCTCTCATTTCTTTGTAACATCATGTCACTTTCAAGTCAGGTTTGGCTCTGGTGACTTCAAGGACATGTATGTGCAGAACTATTGGCAAGTTGTATTTTCATGTCTTTCTTTTGGTATTACTTTTTACTTTCCAGTATCCCTACAAGCGAAGTATTTCTTGGTGATACTAGCCAGGACCAGTCCTACTTAGGCTTTCAAGATCAGCCAAAATGACCTGGGTCCTGCCATTCTATATGGCCACTTCTTCAAAACATTTCTTTTCATCCTTTGCATTCAATCACATCTATTTCTCTTGCTTGCCTTGCCTTGCCTTGCCTTGCCTTGCCTTGCCTTGCCTTGCCTTCTATTCTATTCTATTCTATTCTATTCTATTCTATTCTATTCTATTCTATTCTATTCTATTCCATTCCATTCCATTCCATTCTATTAAAAAAATTAAAAAATGATTTAAAAACTTCAGATTAAAATCAAACTGAAGAAATCCAAATTGTAGCACTATTAAAGCCAGACAAGGTGGCCAGATAAGGTTAAATATCAAACAGGATCATTCTGAATTTCAGAACTAAGATGGCTTCTGATGCTGGTCAGAATGTTAATAATTCTTGAAAGGACTTTACAGAATGTGTGTGTGTGCTCTTTCTTTTAACAACTACAAGGATGCACCATTTCATTATTTTTCCTATCACTTGAGGTAGAACAATTTCATACCATCTACCAAACAGATCAAATGGATGGTGATCCATGGTCATAAAAGGGCAACCTGGCACTGCAAATATGGAGTAAATCTCCAGTGCTTAGGGCTATCAGCTCTGCACTGTAAATAGATGATCACTGGACAGCAGCAAGTAGATACCAAAAATGTTAACTCTTTTCTTCATGTGCTGGTTGGCTAGAATTTGCATGATGTGATCAGCTAGCCCCAACATAGATTTACTTTTCATCTCTAGATCTTTGTCATGAAACAAACTTAAACACCAAGAAATTTTGGCAAGAATAAGTTGTAAAATGGTTCCCTTCTCTAGAGTGGCAACTATTGTAAAACCATGGAGTCATTTTATTCAAGAAAAATCACAACAGGAGATCAGATCTGTAACTTTCACAGGCTTTCCCAGAGAATAGCTAGTCCAAAGATTATTTCATTTCACACCATAATCCCAGAAAGTGGGAGTGTGGTGTGTGGTGAAGTGTCAGGGAAGAGGTCTAAATTCAGGGATTTTCCCAATATTTTAAGATCCAAATTTTTAAGTAAAATTTACTGATATTGCACTGTTGTTCATGCATTGGCCTGGATCCAAATTTCTTTCCTTTAAGCTAACATTTTTACAGTATGAGGAATGTTCTGCATGTCAGAACTCCAACAGAAATGATTTGGTGCTTGAATCATTGACGTCTAATGGTCGAGAATGTTGTATGCAGTATACTCGTGATTGTTAACATCAAGTGTTCCTGTTAAATACTGGACTATGACATGGTTAGTGATTAGAAATGGATTAGTCTCCCTTATGACATTGTTATTTTAAAAAATTCTTAGAAGCTATGTGTGTCTCTATTGTGTAAGTCTAGGACAAGTGTACATATATAGACAAATGTTAACAGGTCCTCTTGAGAGGAAGGAAGGAAGGAAGGAAGGAAGGAAGGAAGGAAGGAAGGAAGGAAGGAAGGAAGGAAGGAAGGAAAGAAGGAAGGAAGGAAGGAAGGACCATTTCTGAAAGACAAGACAAAAAGTTCACTGACTTTGGGCAATGAGAAGAAGCTCTTTAAGGAATACACTTGTGTTAATCAGGAAGAAATAAAATAGGATTAACTGGAAATGAGAAAATCTTTAACAGACATGGAAATCTTTTGCATAACAGGAGAGAGAGAGAGAGACAGAGAGAGACTGATGGCCATAAAAACAATTATTGCTCATTAATAGAGAGATTTTATGTGCATGGAAGATACTTCCATATTAATCTTCTGTCCAGCAAATTGCAGAAAAGCTGATTTCAGCAATGTGAAAGAACTCTAATATGGAATCAGTTTTTATGGACAAAGATTCAAGCAACAGACAAAAATACTTTTTAAAAAGATCAGATATTATTTACCAATGTTTCCAAGATAGATTGTGCCTTGCAATGGTGTTTGCTATAAATCAGCTTTCTATTTGTGGTAGAATTACTTTAGCTATTTTGGTACTGTTGCTTGGTAACAATAAAAAACATGTCAATCAAGTCTTCTTTCCTCCATGGAGCTACCATTTGACAGCTTCCTGCTGCCCCTGTCGCTGTGTTTTTAATGATCCACAGTTGCAGCAGAAGAAAATGCTTACCACCCTGTTATCCACAGCTTTCCCTACTGATTCCTTTGGGTCACACCAGCTCTCCTTAAGTTGACACTGTGGTTTTTAACCAACAGCACTTTGCAAGCTCAGCATCATGGCTTTATTTGTCATTTAAAAGTACAAGAACAAGCAGCCACGGCAAAGACATTTGCAACCAAGGGCAGAAACCTCATCTTCCCTGTTTATCTTACAGTCTATTGTGCCCCAAAGTATGACCACATCAGTTTGTTTCCTTCCCAAAAGAAATATGCCAATTAAAACATTTTAAATCAGAGCCAAATGGTTAGAAAAGACAGAGCTATAAAACGTGAGAGGCTGAATGGCTAAGAATCCATCTCTTAATAATAATAATAATAATAATAATAATAATAATAATAATAATAATAATAATAATAATAATAATAATAATAATAATAATAATAATAATAATAATAATAATAATAATAATAATAATAANTTTTTTGCTCTTCTCTGTACTCTTTCTAGAGTCTCAGCATATTTTTTACATCGTGGTGACCAAAACTGGATGCAGTATTCCAAGTGTGGCCTTACCATGGCATTGTAAAGTGGTATTAATACTTCACGTGATCTTGATTCTATCCCTCTGTTAATGCAGCCCAGCACTGTGTTGGCTTTTTTGGCAGCTGCAGCACACTGCTGGCTCATATTTAAGTGATTGTCCACTAGGACTCTGAGATCCCTCTCACAGTTACTACTATTGAGCAAGGTACCCCCTATACTATACCTATGCATTTGGTTTTTCTTGCCTAAATGTAGAACCTTACTTTTTTCACCATTGAATTTCATTTTGTTAGATAGCGCCCAGTGTTCAAGTCTGTCCAGGTCCTCCTGTATCTTAAACCTGTCTTCTGGAGTGTTGGCTATTCCTGCCAGCTTGGTGTCATCTTGGAAGCTGTGAAGAAGCTGTCCCAAACTGTCTATGGTTTTTGTGCCAACAAGAGACTAAACCAAGATGAAAGTTTTGACTGGCTGGTGGGAACAGTGGAAGCAGTCTGATACTATTGGTCCACCAGGCCACTATTGATGGTTTGACTTATGTGCAGGAGATTTTTCAGCCCAGCCCTATCTGGAATTGCAGCTGAGATGAACTTCTAAATTCAAAGCATATGTTTTACTTTATATACCTGACGGAATATCCCACAGAAGATGCTGTTGTTTTTTTTGTTCCATACTATGGCAAATAATGGTTTGAACAACATGAAAGCAAGATTTTGATTGAAAGTGAGAAAAAAATTCCTACCAGTAAGATCAATGGAACCAATGGTCCAGCGGAGTGATGGCTTCTCCTTCATCGGATGCCTTGTCTTGTCTTTTAGCAGAAACTGGACTATCTGGAATTCTTTCATTTGGATTCTTGCACTGAGTGGCCTTTGGACTCCATGAGCTAAATGGGACTTTTCAACACTATTGTTCCATCGTGTACTCTATGATTCTAATTGTGTCCCATGGCCCTCATGTTGCAAGGGAATGCAATGCATCTTCCTAACAACAGAAGGCACAGATGTCTGAACAGAGCAGGAACCTCAAGACTGGGAGATAGAGAAAATGTCCTTGGCTGCTTAATAAGCAGTAGGAGTTGGACACTAATGTACCCTGAGTTGAGTTCATCACTAGAAGAACAGATACAGCTGTGAAAAAAAGTCCAATAAACTGTAGGAGACGTCAAGAAGCTAGCCCATGTGGAGATGATCTAACTCTGCAAAATACTTCAAGTCCAAACCAAGTAACTAAATTGATCCAGGTTGCACATATAAGAATCAAACATAGCAATCTGATTCCCTGAAAATAGGTTGGACGATCATTCTTATTAATACTACCTATATTAAATTGATATTTCTCCCAGAGTGGCTTTGGATAATGAGATGGATGACATATAGATATAATAAATAAATAAGTAAAATCCTGGACCTAGACAATATGGAGTGAAAAATGTTGAAAGAAAGAAAACTTTATGTATATTAGTTAAGAATGCCTAAATCAGGGATAGGCAACCTTGGCTCTTTTATGACTCGTGGACTTCAACTCCCAGAATTCCTGAGCCAGCATGGCTCAGCTTGGAAACCTCTCCCTTTCTCCTCAGCATGGCTGGCTCAGGAATTCTGAGAGTTGAAGTCCATGAGTCATAAAAGAGCCAAGGTTGCCTACCCCTGGCCTAAATTGAGTACTTTTGATGACCATGGATTACAGACTGTCTTCCTCAGAACACAGAATAAGTTAAACATACTTCCTTTTGTCATGTCATCCTGCCATCTCTCACAGAAAATCAAAATGAGCATAACTCCCAGTGAGGCAAGGCTTCTTTTCCTTTCTCAAGTATAGGAAAATTGGACATCTCTAAAAGGGACCAGTTGGTTCTCAAACTAAGGAGATATTTACTGGAGAGGAAGAGAAAGATCATACTATGAATCAATTTTAAGCATCAAACTGAACCCCAGAGGCTCACAAACCAAGAATGAAAAATGCACTATGTTGCACGTGGTAGCTAGTTTGAGCCCACTTCAAGGTGCTGGCAATTACCAGTTTATTTGGAGACCTGGCCAGCCTTCTAGATCAGTTTCAGACTCAAACGCTCTGCTTGGGGTGTGATGGACACACCCACACATCTCCTAACTTCAGCTCAAAGGTGCTCCTTTAATCGTCATATAAGATCACATCCTCATGCTGCTGCTTTCTTCTCATCTTCCATAGCCAAGGCCACCTAATGTTGGATTTTATTGATCTAGCGTGAAGGTGGTGGTTTGCATCTTCTTCCAGCACAACCTTCCTTATTTGGTGATGATTGGGGTCTGCCTAGGATCTGCCCAGTTGCTCTGCAGGTTGTGTGTGCTGCAGATAGCCTGGACTGCCCCACTGAGTGATTTGCCTGTCCATCGCGACTTATTTCTACATGGATCATCAAATATAAAAAGAAACCTTTGACTGACAGGCAGATTGCTGAGCAGTAAAATTACTTTTCTCCTCCCTGCACAGGTCACCTACAATGTCTGATTCATGGGTGGCAGAAGGTACCTAGTGAAGCAGAATTTACAAAACTGTTTCAGTCACCCGACCCCTGTAGGAGATCCATGGAATGGGCAGGAGATTCTAGGTGAAGCAGGAGCAGAAAGTCCTTCCCTATCTAATGAATTAATTTTTGAGAGATGGATAAACTACTAGTCATTTCTTAAAAGTCATACCTACCCCTGCCCCAATCCGTATTAGGGAGAGCAAATGGTGAATGTTTCTCTATCTTAACTTCCTCTCCTACCCTGAATATTGACCCATCATGCATCCTATTACTCATGGTCAAACTCAGAATCTGAAATACTATAGGACTGCAAAAGCAATGGTCAGATTTTTGTGCAATAAAAAATCCCTGCAACTTGGTCATGAATTGGCAATGACTCTGTATGTGTCAGAACTAAATCATTAAGGTTGTATAACCACCATCACCACCACAGTACATACTATGTGTTTCCAACTGATAAATCACAGTGAACAAGGAGAACATTGGAAGGGTCCTTCCACCTTCGTTCAAAAACTCTGGCATGCGAAATTTGTATGTTGGTCTTCAACGGTGTCATTGTTTAAGTGTAGTTCTGCATCTTCCTTCTCAATCATCTCTTCTGACTGTGAGAGTGCTGTTCCCACTTCAGGCTCCTTCTACATTGCAAAGCCTTTGCCATTTATAGAAAAAGGACTGGCACATTTTTTCCCGTTACTAAGCAACTCAAGCAAGAGTCACAATTGTTAGGTTTGTTTAGGGATTGGAATGCCAGGCTGATGGAGGGATGGATGGATGGATGGGTACCTCTTTTTCACATACCCCTTGCTGACAAAAAGTTTATTTTTACCCTGAGTGCAAGCAGAGTCAGGGGCCATTTCGAGACTGAAAGCAAAGTCTCCAAAGCAATTCCATATTTAATAATAATAATAATAATAATAATAATAATAATAATAATAATAATAATAATAATAATAATAATAATAATAATAATAATAATAATAATAAAAAAAAAAGCTGGAAGGGACCTTGGAGGTCATCAAGTCCAACCCCTTGCTCAGGCAGGAAACCCTACACCATTTCGGACAAATGGCTGTCCAGTCTCTTCTTAAACACTTCCAGTGTTGGAGCATTCACCGCTTCTAGAGGCAGGTTGTTCCACTGGTTCCTCTCAGGGTTTGGAATTTGGGGATGTAGAAATCAGGGGCCTTTCAGATTCAGCTCCTAGTAGCACAACCACATGGCCAGTTGTGAAAGACGAACTGTACTTCCCGTGTCTCAGGAACATAAGTTTCCTAATCCTTTTGTAAATTATTGTATTTAAAATAATCATATAGTCTTTCCAAGCAATCACACTTGAAAGCACAAAAAACAGTGAAGGTAATAAAAAATAAAACTTGTACACATTAAAACAATATTTAAACAATCCACATTCAATAAAAAGGAAGATGGAGGCCATGGCAAGACAACAAAATCAAACCATTCATCCTACGTTATGATTTACCAGTTCTGTAACAGCAAAGGTGGTTTCTTCTGTATCCTGATCCAAAATTGCTAGGGTCTGATCATTGAAAGCAAAATCTTGAGGCTGGCTTGGTAGCTAATTAGCAGCTGCTTTAGGCGTGGTTTAATGTGTGCACCACAACCAGGTTGTCATATCCTCTACAATTAAGGGTGGGCCACAGAGACCACTTGAAGAAATTAAACATGGAATTATCAGTGTGTTGATAATACTGGGACTCAAGAAAGACATTAAGTTTAGGTAAATGTAGAGAAACCTATTCTCCTGAAATTCAGGAATAGATTCAAGATATACTGTATGTTCGTTGTCAATTTTTGAAATGTCAGCATGTTCTAAAAATGTGACGACTGAGCAATATGTTTCTAGGTGGCCTAGATTTAATTATAAAATGTAACTGACTATACTAATACTACACAGTTCTTTTTCCCCCTTAGTTTCTTTTTCTTCTTTTATCTTTAGTCCCTGTAATTTATGTAGGTTCTTTTTCTGTTTCTGAGGCACAATCGCTTTTATAACTTTTTGTAGTTGCTATGTATTTGTTATGATGAAACTTAATTGTAACTGATTTAAAAAGCTTGTCCCCTTCTGGAGCTCCCACATAAACCTTCCCAGTGAGCAACATCTACATGGAAAGCTTAGTGTTGTGGAAAAAAACAAAATGGAGCACCAGCAGGTTACAGTTGGATAGTCTGTGGGTGACGAGAGTTGAAATGAATCTACTGCATGACTGTATTTAATCTCTGTTCTTCCTTTGCAGCCCTTGGTAAATGTGCAAGAACCAGATCCATCCTTATTTCCTTTCTCAAGGTCCCCTTGATGTTTGCCTTTTTATACCTGTTTGTGTGCTCTCTTGATGTGCTAAGCTCTGCTTTCCAGCTGGCAGGAGGTGAGTTCTCCCTGATACTTGCCTGCCTCCTCTCCACCCACCCTCCAGCCCAGCCCTTCCTCCCTAATGATGAAAGTGCTACATGTCCTTCTGTGAGGGGTTCCACCTCCTCTCTGTCTCTCTGCTGCTGGTGTGGGTGCGACTGGAGTTGGGCTCTGAAGAAGGAGGCTAAGAACAACACTAGAACATCACTGGACAGCTTTGTGGTAGTGGGAAAAAATGCATGGAGTGAGAAAGATGGAAGTTAGGAGGAGTATAACTGTTGTAAGGAAGTGTCCTTGGGTAAAAGAAGATAAAGACAAGATTTATTTAGGGAATAACAAGGTGATAGCAAAACCTTTGTTATTTAAGTCCATTTACAGTCTAGAGTCTAGACCAGGGGTAGGCAACCTTGGCTCTTTTATGACTCGTGGACTTCAACTCCCAGAATTCCTGAGCCAGCCATGCTGAGGGAAAAGGGAGAGGTTTCCAAGCTGAGCCATGCTGGCTCAGGAATTCTGGGAGTTGAAGTCCACAAGTCATAAAAGAGCCAAGGTTGCCTACCCCTAGAATCTTAGCATAGTGCCCTCCATTGTGGAAACAAGGCCAGTCAGTCAGGGAAGTGCTGTTGTTGCTCAGATCCCGGTCAGAAGATGAACAGGGCTGAACTGAGAGTAGAAGGAATTGTTGAAAGCCCTGGGAGTGTGAGTAGGAAGCATGTTATCATGCAAAATAAGTCTTTTAGACAAAAAAAAAAGATCAAAGTGCAGAAGATACCTTAGTTAATTATTTCCACATCAATTGCCCCAGGGGTCAGTAAGTTTATTAGGGCAGAAAGCTGGTGTGCATAAAGTTGAATTTCCATAATTTTACTAAAGATTCTCGAGACTGACCCCCTTCCCTTCCCTCCAGATGTTTTTCTATACCTAATGAGAAGTCCATAATTTCTTTTCCAAAAAGGTAAATTTTGTTCACCAAAGGAAAATGTCACTTCTGATTAGCGAGCACTTTGAGGCAATCCTCATTGGTTTAGCTTTATCACATGTCAACTACAGTATATTGCAATAATTCTACCATATTTGCCTGACGTGTCTTCTCTTTCTCTTCTCCTCTCAAACTTTCAGGATCTCTTTTTTAACTAGAATTTCAATTAGGCACAATAGAACCAATACAAATAAGAATCTGGGTTTGCTTATGGTATTATTAGTACTTCTCACAATTCTTATACAGAAAAGTTGACTTCATGTTTTTCTTCATTTTAGCAACCAGACTAAGAAAGGAGAATTTTCTAATGATTTTATGTGTAGACTTCCTGTATTTTCCCCCATCCCATTTCCAGAAAGAGCTGGAACCTTTTAACTGGGGAAATAATGTATAAGCTATATGTTCAGCCACTAATTAACAGACTCTAACTAAAACTTGCTTTAGAAGCAAGCTGGACTAGAAACTTGATGCCCTATGTTCAGATCTGTTTTGCTACTCTCTGGGGTTTTTTTTCAGGTAAAGTAGCTGGAGATATTTTCAAGGACAATGCTATCCTCTCCAACCCAGTGGCAGGGCTTGTGGTAGGAGTCCTTGTTACTGTCCTTGTACAGAGTTCCAGCACCTCCACCTCCATCATTGTGAGCATGGTTTCCTCAGGATGTGAGTAACATTGATGAACTAAAATCAGACTGAAGAGAAGATATATACCATCCATGGCATCTTCAAGCTAGAGTCTCACCAGGTGCTCTCTGCCCTTTGCTTTCTAGTGCTGGAGGTAGGTTCAGCCATCCCCATCATCATGGGCTCCAATATAGGGACCTCAGTCACCAACACCATTGTGGCACTTATGCAAGCTGGCGACAGAAATGAATTTAAGAGGCAAGTATTATTGTGTGTGTTGGGGGGGGGGGAGATGGAGACCGAGAATGTAGCCGGTTTCTGCCCTGGAAAGAAGGCTGGTTATGTGGCTGGCAGAACTGGATGAAGACAGGAGCAGATTGGCAGAAGGAGAAAGTGTTCATCAACTGTAGGAGGATGCCAGTAGGTTGTGGGGGTGCTGGGGCTACAAACCTAAGACAGGAGTAATGAAGAACAGGCATGCGTTAAACCAGGAGTAATTGGTAATTCAGGTAAACACAACAAATAGGCAGAAGTGGGTCTCAGAAAGACTTCTGCAATACAGCTGATTTGGATGGATGCTCAGATAGGATCCATCCATATATCCCATGCCACAGCTCTGATATTTCACAACAGCAAAAGCTTCTTTTTGTTGTCTAACAGGGCCTTTGCAGGGGCCACCGTGCATGACTGCTTCAATTGGTTGTCAGTACTGATTCTGCTGCCTCTGGAAGTGGCCAGTGGCTATCTGCACCACATCACCAAAGTTTCCGTGGCATCTCTCAACCTGCGCAGTGGACGGGATGCTCCAGAGCTTCTGAAAGTAATCACGGAGCCCTTCACTGGCCTTATTGTCCAGGTGTGTGTGTGTGTGTGTGTGCTATGCCAACTAGAGGATTATGACACTGAAGATCTGGAGGGTACCAGGTTGGGAAAGGCTAATCTAAACACAACTGCACCCTCTTGGTCTTTCTCCTGGGAGCTCCTTCTCTGTTTTCTATACAAGCGGTCCTCAATTTATAACCATTTCTTTAATGACAGTTCGAAGTTACAACAGCACTGAAAGAAGCGACTTACAACCAATCCCCCTAGTCACGTGATCAAAATTCAGGCACTTGGCAACCAACATGTGTATTTACAGCGATTGCAGCATCCTGGGGTCAAGGGATGGCCATTTGCAACCCCTTCCCAGCTGGCTTCCAACAAGCAAAGTCAATGGGGAAGCTTAATATTGCATGATTCACTTAACAATTGCAGTGATTCACTTCACAACAGTGTGAAAAAGGTCACAAAATCAGGCGTGACTCATTTAACTACCACCTTGCTTAGCAATGGGAAGTTGAAGACCACCTGTACATTAGCCTTGGGAGGCAGGAATGAGAGACAGGTATCTTCCACTCTTGCCACACTCTAAGGATTTTTCTTGTTCCCTTCAGCTGGATAAGTCAGTGATCACAGGGATTGCCACAGGCAATGAAAGCTTGCACAACAAAAGTCTGATTCGGATGTGGTGTGAAGCGCCAGCTCCACAGGTGAGAATTGTGCCAAAGGAGAGAAAGGATAGAAGGGGGAGGGATGTAAGAGAAAATGGCAGATATCATTCAGAAGATGTTCCAAATCCCTGTTCTATAAGGATGCCACCACTGAGAAGGTTTTTCTCTGATTGACCCATTCTATATACCTCATTTGGTAGAACCTTGTCCTAATCCTACTCTTAGTTCTAGCCCTAATCTGAGACCTAGTACTTGGATAGCCAATATAGTGTTATAGGTAATCTTTCAGGTATCCTAGGTATGGAGGAATGACAATTGCTTTGGGCACTTTTAGTTCATTGTCTTTAAAATCGTGCCTCTCTATAGATACGCACAAATGGAAAACATTTTGAAATGCGGTTCAGCCACCAAAGAATTCAGTTTGCTTTTTCTCCTAATAGACTATATTAATTTTCATTTATGCTAGTTCAGATTCTTTTTTCATCTAATCCAGAAACTAAATGGGTGGTTATGCCGTGATGAAAGGATATAGATTTAAAAAGAAAGACATTCATGGTTATTTATAGTTATGCACTTCTATTATGGGGGGAACAAAGCTTAGAGCACTTCTGAATGTGGATTGTGCACAAATTTCAAAGCACCATCGCATCATCTGAGCCAATCTATTTTCAGCTCAGCTGTGTTGTAACCCAAACTGTAAAAACGTTTTTCTTTCATTTTACAATGGTGAAGTTTTTGGGAGAACGTTGATGGTCTGTTTCCCCACGGGGGGGGGGGACTCTTGCCAGCTTCCTCTGGCTCCAAAACATCAGCCCCCCAGCAGTCCTTTCTGATCCTGCTCAGATGTCAAGCTCAAATTGCTATGGCAAATAGTTCACCAGGAATAGGTCCTTGGACAAAGGGCTGCTGTGCTGAAACGTTTATATACATTGATCCAAAAATCTGTAATGAGTCAAACATGAATTTCATGAATATCATGGCATGTTATTAAACATATAATTTATCACATACATGGATATGTGTGTGTGTGTGTATGTATGTATGTATGCAGTGCTTTATTTCTAAACAAAAAAAAAGGTGCCGGAACTCACACACATCATACAACCCGCCTTGGTTCCATCCAAAAAAGGTGCCGGAACTCCGTTCTGGGCGTTCTATGAGAAAAAAAGCCATGTATGTATATATGTATATATGTATGTATGTATGTCTTTTAAAATACTAAAAATGCGAATCCTGGGCATTATGTTAACAAATAAAAGTAAAAACAAACACCAGGATATGATAAACCAGCCTGTTTAATATAAACAAGCCTGTGGTTAAGAAGAGTCACTAAGCTTTCGTCCGGCCAAAAACTGCCGGCGTCATCAGAGTTAGAATAGAAGGAGATTGGAAAGGCAGTTCATATAGCCTCCTGCCTCTGCGCCCGTCTCCTTGAGCGCGTCATTGGCCCGTTGATTGTATTAATCTGTATCGCGCAGAGTTGTTTGTATGTATGTACTGTATGTATACTCAGAGAGAGAGAGAGAGAGAGAGAGAGAGAGAGAGCAGTGAAATTAGTTACAATACTCTAATGTCCTTTTGGTCACATAGGTGCCAGTAGTTTTCATTAAACAGTATACCAATATTTGGTGTTATTCCTGGGTTGATATGTTTCCCCCCCCTCCAAGAATGTATCCAGGACCAGAGAATCCTAGAAACCCATCCCAGAGCTGCCCAAATACCCCTATGCGTTTCTGCTACCTCCTTGCTGAACAGAGAGATCATTGACCCTATTCTTGTTCATGTTCCTCCTCTTCTCTCCTCTCCTCTATTCTTCCTGTCCTTGCTTGCTTATTCACTCCTGGTCTTTCTTGGGAATGAGCCAGTCCTGGCAGAAAGTCCCTCATTGTGGGATGATCAAGCTTAGTACTCATCCTTCCTCTCCTTAGACAGTCCCAGCAGCTTGGTTAGGCCTTGCCTTCCTATTGCTCTGCCCAGAAAGCCCAGTGCCATCCAGTACCCAGTTCCCAGAGATTCTTGCTGATTGTCGTGAGAGTCCTTGGGCACTAATTGTGGTAAGCCAGCTGCCCAGGCTCCCCTGTTGTCAGGAGGTTATCAGAGTGAACCAAAGTGAACTGTGAGGCTTTGCTATAAGTTTGTATGAGGAACTCAGTGCTCCTCTTTTGCCAGCAGCATCAGAGCTCACAGAGTATCACTGTGGACTGCCTAACATGGCTTGGGTAAGATTGAGGCCCCTGTATTAATGGGGATTCAGACATGATTCAGCACAAATAAAATTCAGCAAGGGCAATGGCCATACAAAGGGCCAGGCTGCTTGGGGGAATTCTTTCTTTCTTTCTTTCTTTCTTTCTTTCTTTCTTTCTTTCTTTCTTTCTTTCTTTCTTTCTTTCTTTCTTTCTTTCTTTCTTTCTTCTTTCTTTTTTTCTTTCTTTCTTTCTTTCTTTCTTTCTTTCTTTCTTTCTTTCTTTCTTTCTTTCTTTCTTTCTTTCTTTCTTTCTTTCTTTCTTTCTTTCTTTCCTTCCTTCCTTCCTTCCTTCCTTCCTTCCTTCCTTCCTTCCTTTTTCTTTCTTTCAAGGAAACACTGGTGGAGAAGTGTCCTTCCAATGGGTTCTAGTTCCTCCAGCCCAAAAAGGATTCATTTTCCTTAGATCACTGTCACTTGGTTCAAAATGTTGGAAAAAAACACCTGATTGTAGAATAGAAAGTGACTTCATGTCACTTTCATAGTTCTTGTGGGATTTTTAATACAGAATGGTGGTGTTGTAGCCAGTTACTTTCTACTTAAGTTACAAATGCTCAGAATATTTGGGAAATGACCAAATGTATATGTATAGTATGGCATATTCTGATGTTTGTGATTTTTTTAATCTCTTTTTTGTCTGGAGTGAGGCAGGGTCATTTTCTGTTGCTGTTCCAGATGGAACAATAGCTGAGGAGTGGAAGGGACTGAATTATGTTTTCATTATATTTCTACTAGTCCACTGGAAGGACAATATAGATTGGTGTATGGTGTTTTCTGCATTTGGAGGCCTATAGGAAAGGAAAGGATCTGCTTCCCCCTGTTTTGGGAAAGATTGGGAGAGGAGGAATGGTACCTTTGGGAAGCACCCATTAAACCACAAAATAGAAGTGTGGCCTTGCTGCCTGCAAATTTCTTCATGGTCAAAAGTGGCATAGGGCAGTTGTTGCCAAACAGGTACTTAGTTTTAAACTGCAGGCACAACACACAGCGGAGCGCTGCTTGCTTGGAACATGTGTAACTTTGGGAGTGCGGTCACTGAAAAAGCATTTTGGGAAAAATGAAATTCAAGGAAGGAAGCAGCAGAACAAGAGGTTGGAAAATGTATTTTTTTCCTAAGGGAATTAAACTGATGTCACTGTCCTGGAACAGATGCTAGATGAGTGCTGATGGATGAAATATAAAGACTGTTATGGAGGCTAATTGGTGTTAGAATTAACATTTTAGCAACATTTTGCCTGCAAGGAACACTTTTGAATAAACAAAAGGAATGAGATGGAAAATTTGAGCAGCCACATGTAGTAACGGCATTATAATAAGACTGTTTTTGACTAGGAATGGGAGGGGGGTTCCTCACTCATCTCCCTAGAGTTCCTACCACATGTTAGGATGACCCTCTTTTTTATAGATTCCTTCAGCAGGCACAAGAGGAAGATCCCTAAACTGCAGCTCCCTTATACCAAACAGTCTGGAAAGTGCTGGAAACTTCAGCAGTGCCATGACACAGAAATGTAAGCACCAGCAACTTCATACAACAAAACTCTGAAAAAAATGGCTAAAGCCACAGATGCCCCATTCTTTCTGTCAGGCCACAAAAGTAGAAGAAGGGGGAATAAGGCAGGGCTCTTGCACTGACCACTGCTCCTTTGACCAGGCAATCACCTGTTTGTGGACTCCTCTCTGCCAGACTTGGCTGTGGGACTCATGTTGCTGGCTGGATCCCTGACTGTACTGTGCACCTGTCTTATGATGTTGGTCAAACTGTTGAACTCTGTGCTCAAAGGCCAGGTGGCCAGCGCTATCCAGAAGGTCATTAACACAGGTAGGTTCATAGACTGGTTCTCTCCCACTAGACTGGAGATTTCTTGGGTCAAAAAGTTTAGATGTCGGGCCTCTGAACGGCACCAAGTTCTTGTAGTGTGAATCCTCGTCTCCCCTTGCTGTTTCTGACATTACACTGGTTTGGGCAGATCTTCCATCACCTTTTGGATGGGCCACCGGTTACTTTGCCATGCTTGTTGGTGCTGGGATGACGTTTGTTATGCAAAGTAGCTCTGTCTTCACTTCAGCAATTACCCCTCTCATAGGTAAGTCCCCCTATATCTTCTCTTCCCCCCAAATCCCAGTAGCAAGTTCAAGGTGGAGAGACTGTGTTGTACAAAAGAAACTCAGGATGAGATTTACTGTAGATTTTTAGCCCCATGCAAGAGGAGAAGAGAAGCATCAGTTTGCTAACCATGTTTCTTAGCTGCATCTGTCTCATTCCCCATGGCAGGAGAAAGTCAACTGGGGTTTAAGGGTGTAGCTGCTCTGGAATATATGGAATAAATAAGCAAGATGTTACTATCACACTTAAATGGGACATAATGATGTGATGATGATTTGAAGCACACTGTAAGCTATCTCAGAAATTACTGAGATACAAGATGCTGTGTCTATATATTCACATAACATATTTAGCCAGATGAGCCAAGTTCTAGCAGATGCATAAGCAACAACCTTGTTAAGTGATCAGTTTGGTGATTTTTCATGGCTTAACGTGAGTGCAAGTCCATCTTGCTTGGACTGTGGTTCAGAATATACCTCATAGAAACATGGAAGGAATAGCCCATATTAGTCTAATCTTCTCCTTAGTACGGGATGCAAAGCCAGATAGTTTATTCAGTAACCTGGTTAAATGAGTTGACTGAATAGTGTTCTGTCCCAGACAGAATAGGCTGCTTTAATTCCGTCCAAACAGGCAGATAACTCAGTGAAAATAAGCAAAGAAATATCGCTTTTATTTCTAGGAATTCTAGACAATAGCTCACTGTTATGTAGAGATACATCCAGAAACATATTTCAGCAATATAGCTCATTCCACAGGTAATTTGATAATGGATTTTCCCCTCTTCTTCTGCATAAGACTCACATGTTGGCATAAGACCTCCAAGCCGTGGGGCTGGGAGCCATGAGACTGGATGAAACAAAGGCATTCCAAACTGGCACGTAGCCAGTATGTCCTGTAATGAGCTCAGAGGCTCCTCCTATTACTGACCTGTTAACATGAGATAGCTAACTAGCTAAAACTACATTACCCATAAGCCATCTCTTAAGGAGACAGCACTTAACCCAATAAATGCCAAACAATCTACCATACAGATCTATATGATCCAGAACAAACAGGGACAGTGAGTAATTGGACTCATCTTCAGGAAGTCTGCTTTTGTGGAATAAGGACGGCTCCTTTAGCACTGCCTTTAGTGTGTATTGTGGGGAAGGAAGTTGTTGTTTTCTGACCAACTGCTCTTTTCTTTTGTGGGACAGGTCTTGGGGTGATCAGCTTAGAACGTGCGTATCCCCTGACCCTGGGTTCTAACATTGGAACTACAACCACGGCTATCTTAGCAGCCCTGGCCAGTCCAGGGGATAAATTGGCCAGTGCCTTGCAGGTGAGGAGATGCCCTCTTTCTATTCTGTTGAACTAGAGATGATGGCTTAGGCCAATACATTTCCCAGCCTAAGGATTTCTTTACAGGCCCCTGAGCACTGCTGTTCCCGCCCTCTATCAAAAAAGCCAGGAAGGAAGGAGCAATGGTAAAGCAGAGAGGCACAAGCAAGAATCAGAAGCGAAAGCGATACTAGGTTCCTTTCCCTGCTCTCCCCCAAAACCCAGTGCGCGGTATGCATTTCTTCCCAATGTTGCACCCAAGAGAACTGCTGTGCTTCTGGTTTCCCTTCTCAGATTGCTCTCTGCCACTTCTTCTTCAACATCTCTGGGATTCTGCTGTGGTATCCCCTGCCTTGTACTCGCCTCCCAATCCGCATGGCTGAAGCATTAGGTGAGCAGACAGCCAAGTATCGCTGGTTTGCTGTCTTCTACCTGATTATCTGCTTCCTCTTGTTGCCGTCGCTGGTTTTCGGACTCTCTGTGGCAGGATGGCAGGTGCTGGTAGGCGTGGGAGCTCCGTTCCTGATTCTTCTAGCTTGTGTGGCCTTTATCAACATCATGCAGTCACAGAGCCCTGACCGGCTGCCCAGGTGGCTTCAGAATTGGGACTTCTTGCCGTACTGGCTTCACTCTTTGGAGCCCTTGGATGGGCTAATGACCAGAGCCACAGCGTGTTGTGCTGCTCATTGTTCGGGTAGCCAAGAGGAATGTAAAAAGAAATCGCCAGGAGTTAAGATCAGAAGAGGCTTGCCGAAGCCTTCTGTTGTCTTCTTAGAGGAATGGTCCCCGCCACCAAGACTCTCACCCCAGCTGAACATCCTGCCAGTGCAGCATGCTAGCCGCCTGTGATTTGCGCTAGAACATAGCTCTGTTGCGGCCTGCAGACAGTGGTGCTCAGCAGACAAGCAATAATATAAAGAAAAAGCACAACAAGAAATGGCATCAGTGCAAATACTGGAGTTTGTGCTGATGGCTGTCCTCATCACTGCAGCTCTGTCATTGTCACGTGTATATGCCAGCCAGTATAGGTTCATGTCTCATTGGGCAGAGCTTTTCATAGGAAATATGCCTATAACTAGCATTTGATAATCACTGTGCATATCATTTTGTTATGAACATCAAAGAACGAGTGCAAAATAATCAGTGTAGGGACTACTTACATACAATGCAGGAGAGTTTATAGTGCTTATAATGCAGCAGAACCCCCAGTGGTGGGATTCAGCCAGTTCGCACCAGTTCAGCAGAACCGGTAGCTAATTTTTTGTTGCTCAGGCCCAGAATGGACTTCCAGAAGCAGCATCCACACAGAGAACCGGTTGTTCACATGTTTGAATCCCACCACTGAGAACCCCCATCCTCGATTGCCCATAGCATCTATGTAACAGGAGTTCCATATATTCAGAAGTTATTTTGTAGCAGAACTGTAGGTCTCCCTGAGCAGTGTTGTCTCAATGTACAACACATTTGGAGAATTACACATAAGGGTGCTTAGAAGATTTTTCCCTTTTAACTTGACAAACAGATCCTTCAGGTGTTTGATGACAACTCACATCATCCCAAAATCATATATGAGCTAATTGAAACTGGTGAGAATTGGAAGCAAAAACCATCTAAAGGTTGTTTGAACCTGTAGAGCATTTACTCCATTTTATAGTATTGTCTTAATAATTGCTGACCATCAGATTCTTTATGAGCAAGAAAGTAATAGATAGTAATAGTCCCTATAGTAATAATTTTGGAATCACTAAGACACAGATGCTACATTTGCACTGCTTATATTTCTGCTAGAGGGTAGTTATACATTGTTGTTAATTGCGAAGTCGTGTCCGATCCATCGCGACCCCATGGACAATGTTCCTCCAGGTGTTCCTCTACCATCTTCTGGAGTCCATTTAAGTTCACGCCTACTGCTTCAGTGACTCCATCCAGCCACCTCATTCTCTGTCGTCCCCTTCTTCTATCACCCTCAATCTTTCCCAGCATTAGGCTCTTCTCCAGTGAGTCCTTCCTTCTCATTAGGTGGCCAAAGTATTTGAGTTTCAACTTCAGGATCTGGGAAGTAGTTATAGATCAGTTCAGTTTGGGTTCCAAAAAAATTATAGAAATAGAACTGGGGAGACATTTGTTTCTGTAGCTTTTACTATATAATTATTCTCATAATTTTCATTATTTCAATGAAAATCCAGATTGTGAAGGATTTGATGTGTATTATTTATAAAATGTGACACAATATTCTTTTGGCTGCTGCTGAATCTCAGCTGAGTTGAACCAATACTATGATGCAGATTAGCAATTAGCAGTCTAAGATGGGAGCCATTTCCTTTGATTTTAAAGTTTTTAAGAATAGAAAATCCTATGTTAACAGAGAATCTGATCACATAAGAAAATGCTTTGGAGGGGAGGGAGTGAATCTACCCCATTAGCAGAATCTGAATTCTGTAGTTTGGTGCAGACCCTGAACATGGTTTGAATTAGGAGTGCAGCCACCACTTTGGATGTTTTGCTTGCTTTTTATTTTTTTTAAATTGCAAGCAGTAGCAAACTTTCTAATCTTCCCTGGATCTCCTCCATGTCTCATGTTCACATATATTTTATGATTATGTCACCAGAATATGCACTGTGTCACTTCTGCCTTTGCATTAGCACACAATCCCAGGATACCTTGTGTTTCTGCTTCTGTCAAGTTTGAATTTGCAGAGTTTCTTTCAGGTTTGTGTCCCCCGTTGCATAATTTGAGCATCCAGGTGTGTTTCTAAGTCACTACTTCAAAAATAAAATTCACTGATAAATCTGTTCTTTAAGTGAACTAGAATATTACAGTATATAATTTTTCTACTTCTTGAATGATGAGGTCCCAGGAATAGCATTACTTTTTTGGAGAAGGATGTACACTGGACTTTTATGGGCCAGTTCAGGCATAAATAGAAATCATTTGTTACTCAGTATATTTATACACTGCAGTGTTCGATTTCCAAACTTCTCTTTCTTTTTTACCTAATGAGAAGATCANTCTCGGAGAAAAGGTAGCGGAACTCAAACCTGGCCACGCCCTCATCAAACCCTAGGACCGCCCCTTTAGAGAACAGGAATGCAAGTAAAATTTGGGAGGGGCTATTTCCGGTGTGGGAGGGGCTATTTCCGGTGCGGCCGGCCCGGAAAAAGGTGCCGGAACGCGGTTCCGCCGCGTTCCGGCTGAAAAAAAGCCCTGGAGAAGATCAAGCTTTTCTTCCTGGTTAACCACAATTCTTAGACATCCCAACTCAAGGAACTGACATTTGTTTATACCATGGGTTTTGAATGCAATGCTGGTGGCTGGCATTGTGCTCACCCAGCCACATTGTGCAACCCATTCCACAATTTACAGGTAGTTCTCAACTTAAGACCACAACTGAGTCCAACATTTCTGTTGCTAAGCAAGACAGTTGTTAAGTAGGTTTTGCCTCATTTTATGACCTTTCTTGCCATGGTCGTTAAGCAACTCTGGTTTCCCCATTGACTTTGCATGTCAGAAGGGTGCAAAAAGTGATCACATGACCCTGGGACACTGCAACCATCGTATATACATGCTGGTTGCCAAGCATCTGAATTTTGATCATGTGACCCTGGGGATCCTCCAACGGTTGCAAGTGTGAAAAATGATCATGTCACTTTTTTCAGTGTTTCAGATGGTCACTAAACAAATCGTTACAAGTCGAGGACTAGCTGTATTGTTGTACAAGTGACTGGAACAATATCATTTTGGAAAAAAATGCCCCCAAAGGCAAAATCCTACCCCATGTAATTGGGCAGCAGAATCTTTGATAGTGTCTTTTCATTAAGAAGTTATTCCCACCAGTATTCAAACATACAGAGGTGTTTTATTCCAACAAGTGAACTTAAGGGAGGAATACATTTCTCTGCCCAAAAGCAACAGTGGGAAGAAGCCTTCAGTGAAGATGTTTGAACAAACAAATCCCTTGGCATAATTGGACAATTATCTGTCTTCTTCTCCTTTCCAGTGAAAGGGGAAACAGGGTCCTTGAAAATTGGGAATATAAAGCAGACATGCCTGGGGCTGTCTTGTATCATTTTTGCATTTCTTAGGGTGGTCATATGTGCACAGATTCTGTAGCAGAGCTTCCAGCATTCTGCATGCCCCATAAAAACTCTGGACACGCTCTGGACAGGCCTGAGCACGAAAAATACAAATGTGCAAGTCCTTTCATGACGACGATCAATCATGCATCCAAATTTTACAAAGGCAGTAAATACATTAACAATGTATTGAAGTACTAAAAAACCAGAAATGGTCTGTTGAACATACTCCTTTTCTAGTACGACAATGTCCAAATTAAGATAAAATCTGTATAACTTTAACTATCTCTAAAGATATCTTACCCACCAGTTAAAACAAATACATCTTTTAAAAACAAGGAACGTCTAAATAACTGATAGTCATGTGTGGTCCTTCCTAAACATCTGAAATCAGCTCAAGGTTCCTAAACTTTATGGTGTGGTGAACTCATAAAATAATACACATGTGCAAACACACAAACAAATGATTTTATTGGGTTAGAGTTGGGCAATAAATAACTGTATCACTTAATAATTACATGTATACATAGCAAAGGTTTCCAGAATTTGCAATATTTTGGGTTTCTGCAGACAAATCAGGCAAAACTCAGAACAAAATCTTGACACTAACTTCCACTGTGCCTGAGCAAGCCTAGTCAGGTTTCAGAAAATTGTGACCTCCTCTACATGGCTTACAACTCTCTCTTCTACACCCTGTAATCCTGACCCACAGTTGGGAACCCCCAAGTTGGTCCATATCTATCATTGCAGTGGTCTAGAAGTAATCCCAAAGAATGTTGCTTTCGTGAAAAACCACCATCTTTTGTGAAACATGTCTCAAAGACTTGAACACTGGGCGCTATCTAACAAAATGAAATTCAATGGTGAAAAAAGTAAGGTTCTACATTTAGGCAAGAAAAACCAAATGTACAGGTATAGGGGGTACCTTGCTCAATAGTAGTAACTGTGAGAGGGACCTCGGAGTCCTAGTGGACAATCACTTAAATATGAGCCAGCAGTGTGCTGCAGCTGCCAAAAAAGCCAACACAGTGCTAGGCTGCATTAACAGAGGGATAGAATCAAGATCACGTGAAGTATTAATACCACTTTACAATGCCTTGGTAAGGCCACACTTGGA